GATGAGCGGCTGAAGTGAGGGAAAACACATTTAAGGTGTAATGCCATGCATTTAAGGACTATTTCATCACCCTCTTTAATGAGTACTTATATAGTTCACACTGGAGCCAAACTTCACCGGGTGAGGTATTAACCGTTACAGTGATGCTTTACGCATATGATAATACAGTGTAATGATTTTTCATGGGCAATGAAAATGGGAAAGACTGATTTACGTGTTTATGTTTGAATGTGCATGTTTCAGACAAGCAGAATAAAATCAAATGCAATGCAATTATACATATAGACATTAGGCACAATATCAATAAGTTGACAGAACATTGCTATTTTATTCTCGATAAATTGAGAATTTGTGTGTGTGTGTAATTTATTTATTCTTAGATCATGTTACTATTTTGATGAAAATTTTTAATTCAGGGATTTACCAAACCTGAATATTCTTTTTATTTTTTTTATTTTATTGGACACAGCTGAATCATTGTTATTTAGAATTAGATTGCATGGGTGTTTGATCACAGTCTTTGACAACTATTCCTACTATTCATTAAACATTGGTGCTTTTTATCATATTGCTGTTGCCAGTGTTTTGTAAAAGCAATACAGCAATTGATTTTACCATAGTTAAGGGTTGTTCACACTGACAGCAACAAACCGGATGTCATTAATTTTCAGTGAAAGTTGGTGAGTTCATCTATACTGTATGCAAATAAGCAGTGATTTGATGTGAAAACGACCAATCAGAGCACAGAGAGCAACCCACCACCTAATAAAACCAGATACTTCAGTCAAATAGCAACCAGAAACTCACCAACCTCTGGGTATTTAATCACATTAAAAACATCCCCTTGTAAATTCACTGTAAGTGGCTTATTGGTTTAACAATGTACAGCCAATTATGTCAATATGCATTGTTGTATCTCATCAGAATATTTTGATTCAACAAGCTCAAATGACTAAATATGTTATCAAAATGTCCCTACAACAAGGGAACGGTGTGCACTTGAACAGTAATTACCAATTAAATGACTAATCAATACACTAACAAGAAACCGGAGCTGTGCTCCATCCTTAGCCAATGTTATGCTAGTGTGTTGTGTGTGTGTATTAGTGTTTTTGAGGGTTTGTGCTGGATATTAGGGCAGTGCAGGCACACACTCACGTCTCTGATGTCTGTGTGTATGTGTGTGTGTCTGGATGATGTGTGTGTTGACGTGCCGTAGCAAGAGTTCAGGGAGGCAGCTGAGCAAAATAATTTAGAATGTCCTGCCTGCTGACACAAGGACAAAAGGCGCAGAGAGAACTTATATGCGGCTAGGAGACAATGGCGGCCGCTCCGGCTGGAGTCTACACAGCGGTTGTTTTCTCTCTGACCTCTCGTCCTTACAGTGATGGTGGAAGGCAGCAGACAGCCAGGCTCTCCTGCATTACTCCTGCATCGTGCCCGTGCGGTGCGCCGGTAGAGAAACACCAATACTAATGGCCGGCTTTTCTTCAGCTGTTTCTTACGCTGTCAACCTGGAGATTAATAACCGTCCTGATTGCATCTACAGTACTGACAGAGCTTACTGTCTCTCACTCAGACACTAGCACTAGCAAGCTGCCTAGATAGTAGGCAGCAATTTAGAGCGGCCCAAGTGTGCTTTCAATGTGAAGACTTTTCTAAAAGGAAAACGCATTATAGTAAATATTCTGGTCAAATTTCTAAGGCAGCACTGCATATAATTTTTGCAGCTAGTGCAATTGCTGAATGCAATGTACCTCAATGTATCTCAGCTAAAAACTGAAATATAAATTGTGTTGCTCTAATGCTTGCTTGTGGAAGTGTATAACAAAGAGTGAAAAATTTAAGGGGGTCTGAATACTTTCCGTACCCACTGTATATATAAATATATACTGTATATATATAATCAGTTTGTATAATAAAACTGTAGCAACTGTAGCATGTAGCCTTTGTGGGAATGCAATCCCTAAATACAATGCACCAAATAAATAAATCTAAAAAAATAAAATAAATGCACCAAAAAAAAAAAAAATGTTGTGGATGAGTATACATGTATTTCATTCAATATTAAAGTATAAAAACAATAAAAAGTATCAAAGAAAATTTTTTTACTGTTCCAATTTTTTTTTCAGTTTTTCTTTTTTAATAAATCTGCAAAAATGTCAACAATTCTGTGTTTTTCTGTCAATATGGGGTGCTGTGTGTACATTAATGAGGAAAAAAAATTAACTTAAATGATTTTAGCAAATGGCTGCAATATAACAAAGAGTGAAAAATTTAAGGGGGTCTGAATACTTTCCGTACCCACTGTATATATAAATATATACTGTATATATATAATCAGTTTGTATAATAAAACTGTAGCAACTGTAGCATGTAGCCTTTGTGGGAATGCAATCCCTAAATACAATGCACCAAATAAATCAATCTAAAAAAATAAAATAAATGCACCAAAAAAAAAAAAAATGTTGTGGATGAGTATACATGTATTTCATTCAATATTAAAGTATAAAAACAATAAAAAGTATCAAAGAAAATTTTTTTACTGTTTTAGCCAATTTTTTTTGTGTATTATGCATTTGATGCTTCTCAGAGATTAACACTGTTGACTTACAGTATCAACATGTTAAAGTTGGCATGAGAAGTTTGCCTGAAATTGCGATCAAATTCGAATTTTTTTTCCATATTGTGACGTATATCCAAGTGAAACGGCTTCTGGGATAAGAAAAAAAATGTAGGGCGGGACTTGATTTTGTCACATGCACAACAATCATTTCTAAAAAAAAAAAAACACTGCAATATTAGATTGTTAATATTAAATGCTAATTTTCATTTCATGAAGACTTTGTCATTTCTGTTGCCCAGCTTGAATAAAATAAGGTCTCTATAGTTACCTTTTTAGATGCACATAATTGTTCTTCAACATAAGTAGCACAGTCAAATCTCAACGTGTGCTTTAAAGATGCATGTGCTTTCAAGTTGCAATAAGTATTATGAATGTCAGTTTACATGCTTACAGGGAAACTTGTTCTAAATCAGTCACTTATGAGATTCTATTACTGTTAGAATGTTGCCTTAGAAGGCAGTTGCCTATGTAGGCAGTTCACTGGGTTCTGAAACAGAGCCATTTTATTTCTCTGTCTTTCTTTGTTCTTTCTTGTCTGGTCCAGTTTATCCTTTGCGTCTGCAGCATTTAATCGGATGCTCTTTTCCCCCTCCTAAACTGCATGCTTCCTCTACCCTCATCACATACATATTGTTCAGACATAATGAGGGCTGCAAGGTGTGGTGGGACTCAATCAAATCAAAATTTAAGACGCAACAAAAGAAAGAGAAACTCAATTGGTATCCACCGATCAGAGTCTGAAGTAATAATTACCTTGGAGTGCGGTGAGCAGTCGTTTGTTAGAAAGGCTGAACGGAGTGGCGCTGACTGCCGACAGGCAGAAATCCTCCAGAGGCTTCGGGGCTGTACTGGAAATGGCTTGCAAACTCATCGGGGAACGCTCAGGGCCAGATCGATGCATCAACCCAAGGCCCCAGCGCACGAATCCGAGAGGCCATGCTGGGACTGTGGGCTCCACAGTACACATCATGTGTCTAAACTCCAGGTCCTCAGCCAGGTCTCTCCGGATTGTCAAAAGAGCCCTGGGACACGACAGAGAAGAGGTGTGGAGTGGTTTTGTCATGGTGTGATATACGACAGGATGTCAAAGTCAGATGTGATTCCACTAAGAAGACACATCGAGATTTGCCCTTCATTTTTTTTTTTCAAAAACCCAGACAGGTTTCAAAAGGACTTGTACATCATAAATGTATAATATCTACAGTTATTCCAGTTATAATAAGATCAAAATCTAATTTATTGTTTTAATGGTTCATTCATAATTCAATTCCATAATCTATTGGTCTAATCCATCTATATATCATAATCATGATTTGAATAGCATTCAAGCTAGTAGAGCATACTTCACTAATGGACAATTCATACTGAAATCATCCAGTTAAGTGCATTTTTACAATTTCTGAAGAAAAAGTGACTTGTGATTGCTCGTGCAAGAGTCAGTGCCACAGTGCTCGGGGTGTTGTGGGCGTAACTATGTGGTTTTGAAACATCCATAACTTGAAGGATGAGTAATAGTAACAGCACTAATAAATTCCTAATTTTTACATTTTATTGTATATTTAGGCAATGAGGTACAAGAGGCTGTGCAATATATTTACAACTTGCATGTCGGGTGTGACATTTTTACTTTTATAAAACGTTTAATAAATAATATTTGCATTTACATTTAATTATAATAGTAATTATTATTATAATAATATGAATAATCTAAAAATAATAAAAAATATTAAAAGCAAAAATAATAAAATTAAATTCATTTAAATAGAAAAAAAATATTTTTTCATTAAAACGTTATTATTTAGCAAATTCATTAAATCCCATACTATCTATCTATCTATCTATCTATCTATCTGATACACATCAATGATATATATATATATATAGCCTACACTTAAAGGTATAGCCACTGACGTCACAGAAATAGCAATCGCTACATTCGCGATATGCAAATATTAAATTTATTTCTATAATTATTAGCCAACCTTGGCTGTATTTTCTTTTATTTATATTAATGTAGTTCTGAATGCACTTTGACTTTGTTCTGTCTGTTGTAGGCCTACTTTATTGAAATTTAGTTAAATATAATTATCGCTATTATCGTACGCTGTGCATACTGAACAATTTTTTTCGCTCTTGTATGGTATATTTTATAGTAGCCTACATATCAATAATATTACATATCATACTCACTTATTTTTACCTCGTGTGTTATTTAGACATTATTTCTAAGACAAAAACATCCCATAAATGAATGATTCCTGTCAAGTGTAGAGTGACAAGAGAGCGAGAGTGTTTAGGCAAATCGAGCGACCGCGCTGCGCTGCTTTGAATTTGGCTCTCCCGCAGCGCGCATGCGCAATCTGCGGCACGCTGTGCTTCTCTAGAGCAGCTGTTTGGGGTTTGAAATTCCAACATGGCAGAGGCAGTGGTCAGTCTTCCCCACACTAACTTGGAATGGTTTCAAGTCGCTTAACCCGCACAAGCATTCATCAGCGAGCCCGTCGGATCGATGCCGCTCTAACCCGAGAGGTTATCCTGTCATACTAACAGGTAAGAGTTAACCCGGCTATTACCACCGAGATTAGGAATTTAACTGGACTACAGGAGAGGAGAGCCTGCCTGCCTTTATCGCAACGCATGTCCAGTCCATGCATCACCGGGCTGAACTGAAGGGCTCGCGCTGTCTGTATCTAAATGCACAGACTGTGTTTTAATGCGGGATGTGATCGCGCGTGCAGCGGGATGTTAAAGCTCGGGCGGATGAAGTTGGTCTGTAATAGTTGATTATGATTAATTATGTCAGTATTAGATTTTGCATTGGAAAGTGAGAGTGGGTGGGGTTGAAATTCTTACAAAGTAACTTTCTGCTGCACACGAAGCGCATTATACACGATTATCGTCTGGAAAAGTTTTTGCAGCTTTTATTTTTCACGTGTCATGCATTTTTAAATACTTGACTTTTAAGCAGAGGAGATGTTTTTTTTTCTTTCTTTTTTTTTTTAAGTAAACAGTCATGCGATGCATGTGTCCATGACGAGAATTTCGTTTCTTTTAAACCCAGGGAGGTTTTACCTCAGCCTGGGAGAAAAACTGACATGAGCTCGCTGTCGTGGTTGTGTTTTTCCCCTCCTTCCTATCGCTCTCCCTCTCTCTCCTCCTCTCTCTCTCCTCCTCCTCTCACATGTTGTCCAAGAGCTTTTGTTGGTTTTGCCTTCTTAATTATATGCATGTAGGTTAAATGAATACCTGACGAAAAGGCCCCTGGTTTTCACAGTGTAATTCGATAGCTGAGAGGAAAAAGTGGCTGTAAGCAAGCGTTGGAATTCACGTTTTCTTTTCTCCCGTTTTCGCCTTTGAGAAGATGATCACTAGCTCCAGTGTACATGGTACGTTGATTTATTGTTTATATTTTGCCATACACTCTTGCAAAGTGTGCTTGTACGTGCACGGTGTGCTTTGTTTAGTCATGAGATGCGTATTAGACTTTGAACAGAGGCATAATATTCACGTAACCTGTTAGATTGTATGTTAATAATGAATTACTATGCAATTTAAGTCGCATAAAGCACTCCTAATGTATATATCTTTATTTAACTGATGTGTTTTTGAATAAAAGTTGCGTAAATTGGCATATATTGACACGGTAATTATAAGTGTCGCGTGCGATGTGTTTACCTCAGTCGCCGATGTCTGTCAGAACTAAGTTGACACAATGTTAACTTACTGTCAAAATGATTATTAGCGACTCGAAGTGAACTTATCTTTCAATTAAATGCGAGGACTTTAAATATTTATTATAATATGTCTTTAAATCATTAATGTTTACTATAATATTTGACTATATACTCTTATGTCATATCCGAGCCCTTTTTCTGATCAAAATTATTGTTTTATATTTGCAGATAGCGCCTTATTTTGTTTTTCTAGGCTATAGTTGTTTTGTCTCGAATTTGTATAAACGTGATTATACTTCGATAAAAATCTTTTAGGTTTGAGCTTATTAGCAGTTCATGGAATTGTTGTTGGTATTTGCATAACTGTATTTACATAAAACTTCAGTCTGGAGTGATTTACATTCACATTATTCAAAACCTGTTTTTGCAATACACCCCAAAACAGCTTAAAATGTACTTTATGTAGTAACTCATACAAAGACTTGTTTTATTTTTCAAGTCAATTATGTTATTTAATAGACTAAATCAATCTGAATACACAATGTTTAAAGTCATTTTAAAGGTAAGATTTGCTCTCTTTACATATTCACTTTTTAGTATCAAATGCTAAGCCGGCATAAAGAAGTTACCAGAAGGAATGACTGTATGTGGCCGCATACATTTTTCAGCCTTAATATTAGACTTCATCCATCAGTGGGGTTGTATATTACTACATTTTATGTAGTTCTTGAACACACATTTGCATGAATTTTTGATGTGTGCCCCAGCATTATGCACATTTTGCTATTTTTCTATATGTGTCCTTTCTTCTGCATACTTGTGGATTTTTCTTTCCTTCTTTAGCACTGAGTCTTAGTCCTGCGGATGTTGTCAGACTCGAAAGTTGAGGTCAGGAATTGATCTGTTGAAGGTTACGCCACTGTCATCGCCAACTTGTAGTACATTAATTATAGTATCTCAATTAAATGTTCCAGTGATTATACAGAAAACCAAATAAAAATTTCAAAAAAGCACTGGAATAACATGACTAAGTAAATGATGACAGAATTTTCTTTTTTGGGTAACTGTCCCTTTAATGTTTTTTTTTTTTTTTTTTTAAAGACAATTGCATGTTGATTTGTTTGAAATGAATTACATTTTCATATTCAAACATTTGGTTCTCACTCTCAACCAACTAAACTAAACAAAAAGCACAATCTCTCATCCATTTTTTATTTCTAACATTAGTAGTTATTTTCTGAAAACCCCTTGCATTTGCATTTTGTTATTTAAAAACACAACTAAAATTGCCTGGTGAAGACTGAAGTGTGTTTTCCAAGCCTCTTCAACTCTATCAATAGAAAAATGCACTACATGTTGAGTGATTTCATTACTGTAGAGTGTTTTTTGTGATGTGTTTTAATCAAAGTGGACATTGAGCATGTGTTTTTTCTTTCCTGCGATGAGGTTTAATAAGCCATTAGATGTGTAATGTACTAGTTAGCAGAGGTATATTAACACAACAGGCATCGGTGACCTGATTTAGCTTCGCAGATACGAGTTTGAAGTGTAAATGTTATTAATAAGTATTACTTTAAGCTTTTAATATGATACTGTTTTGACTAAGTGATGTCCTCGAAGTGATTCCTTGTGGGCGCAGCAGGCGGTTGATGTGTGAAAGCGCTGTTATCGTTAACTCGGTCCTGATTTAACCCCAGGCTGGGCTTTATGAGCATGTTAAACGACACGACAGCTTCACACACTCCTGATTGCATGGCATGTCAGTTGGCGTGAGCATGTGTGTATGTGTAGCTGCGCGTGTGAGTCCGCAGGGTTGACATGAAACCTCATGTTGAGTTTTGTGGTGTGCGTTATGACAGATGCTGACCCCTCCCCTTTTCAGCACCCTCTTTGCTTGATGTATCGGGTGTTGACATTCTAGCACAGGACTACAGGCGGATCGCTATATACACAGATCTATGGAAGACGCTCTGATTCGCACGGCTGATGCGGCAATTAGCAGAACGGATACAGTAGGTGCCTACGCACCTTCGGTGCTTGGCCCCTAATGAATACAAACTGTCATATAAAAAAAAAAAAACACTAATAACAATGACAAAAATGGACAATTAATTAATTAATTAATTATAGTATCTCAATTAAATGTTCCAGTGATTATACAGAAAACCAAATAAAAATTTCAAAAAAGCACTGGAATAACATGACTAAGTAAATGATGACAGAATTTTCTTTTTTGGGTAACTGTCCCTTTAATGATTTTTTTTTTTTTTTTTTAAAGACAATTGCATGTTGATTTGTTTGAAATGAATTACATTTTCATATTCAAACATTTGGTTCTCACTCTCAACCAACTAAACTAAACAAAAAGCACAATCTCTCATCCATTTTTTATTTCTAACATTAGTAGTTATTTTCTGAAAACCCCTTGCATTTGCATTTTGTTATTTAAAAACACAACTAAAATTGCCTGGTGAAGACTGAAGTGTGTTTTCCAAGCCTCTTCAACTCTATCAATAGAAAAATGCACTACATGTTGAGTGATTTCATTACTGTAGAGTGTTTTTTGTGATGTGTTTTAATCAAAGTGGACATTGAGCATGTGTTTTTTCTTTCCTGCGATGAGGTTTAATAAGCCATTAGATGTGTAATGTACTAGTTAGCAGAGGTATATTAACACAACAGGCATCGGTGACCTGATTTAGCTTCGCAGATACGAGTTTGAAGTGTAAATGTTATTAATAAGTATTACTTTAAGCTTTTAATATGATACTGTTTTGACTAAGTGATGTCCTCGAAGTGATTCCTTGTGGGCGCAGCAGGCGGTTGATGTGTGAAAGCGCTGTTATCGTTAACTCGGTCCTGATTTAACCCCAGGCTGGGCTTTATGAGCATGTTAAACGACACGACAGCTTCACACACTCCTGATTGCACGGCACATCAGGTTGCGTGAGACCGCGTGTGTGTATGTGTAGCTGCGCGTGTGAGTCCGCAGGGTTGACATGAAACCTCATGTTGAGTTTTGTGGTGTGCGTTATGACAGATGCTGACCCCTCCCCTTTTCAGCACCCTCTTTGCTTGATGTATCGGGTGTTGACATTCTAGCACAGGACTACAGGCGGATCGCTATATACACAGATCTATGGAAGACGCTCTGATTCGCACGGCTGATGCGGCAATTAGCAGATGCGTGCTTGCAATTAGATTGAGGCTTACATTCGAGCAATATTTTGACAATATATATAGTTGTAGTGTTGGCTTTAATGTTCAGTAGTTTGTATTCTTGTAACATTTGAATGAATAATTATTTGTATTTAGCTTCATGCACGATACAGTTAATTGTTTTTAAATTATTTTTTGGCAATTTTTGCACAAATGTGTTGCATGCAGTATAAACACATTTAGAATTAAACTGCTTTTCTGTTAGGGAAAAAATGAGCATACTGTGCAGTTTCGATATTGTCATGCAGTGAAAATGCATCTTAAAGGCATGTTGAACCGTTTTTTTTTTTTCAGTTGTTATGTGATTATTTTACATGCATTGTTAAATAGTCTCATTATTTGAGGTTTTGTACTTTAAAAATCAATTTGCACTAGTAAAGGCAAATATTTTGCAGCATTGTGCATTGCATCGTCTAAACGCACACGATAGATAGATAGATAGATAGATAGATAGGCCTAGATTTATAAAATTAGACAGCTTTTCTATTAGAAAAATTAGTTTATTGTGCAGTGCTAAGTGGCATGCGGTGAAAATGCATCTAAAACATGTTCAATGCTTTTCCCAATTGTTCTGTACATTATTATTGTTAAATTTTTATATTTACATGATATTTTACAATTTCAGTGTTTTTTGCACTTTAAAATTCATTTGTACTA